ACAGTGACAGTAAACATCTGCTATGAATCACCCCTTGAGAAACACAAGGGATGGATGGCTGTAATTCTCAAGTACTTGCTACAGGCAAACTTCCCCATTGTGAAGGAAAGAACATTTAATGGCAAAGAAAAAAAAGTAGCAAAAGATAACCCATAGTTCCATTTCAGACTGAAACAGGCTTTTACCAGCTGAACCAGTTGCTTCCTGCTGAAACTAGATATTAAAACAAATTACTAATTTTATAATCAGCACACCTGTTAAGATACTGGAGAGTATAGTCTGGAGTCTGGAAAACAAAACAATGAAACAGCAATAATAGCTGCTATTCCTGCAATAATTCCTTCTTCATAGGAATCTGTACTGATAAAACATCCCTAAAAAAGCATAAATCACTTTTAACAGTTGTAGTGCTTATCTAAAAAGAAGCCAGTGGATATAATGGATTGCCATAAAAATTCTAGTACTTCCCAAGTACACATCAATGCTAAAAAGTGCCCAGTTTAAGATGAACATGACCCATATCTCAATATATTGCTCCATATGGTTCATAAGACCAGATTAATGGGTAAAGTAACTGAATCTGTGTCAAAGAGCTACTAAAAAACAAGTCAAGTATGCACAGCCTGGCCATCCCTGGTCATGTATTGCCTCCCTGTACCTGAGATGTGAAAGGAGCTATTGCACCATGTCAGAACACCATAGTACAAGCCACCAGTTCTGAGATGCAGCTCAATTTTGGATGTGCCAGTCCTGAACTTTTTTTTTCTTTCTTTTTTTTCCCTCCTCTTTGTTAAGAACAACGACTCTAGTGAGGCTTGACCCACAAGAGGATATTACTCCATCTATTGTGACTTTGAAGAATCACACGAGAAAAAAACCTCAGGCAAAAAAACCCACAAGTGCTGCTGAATCATTTTTGGAGTTAGGCTGCCAAGTTACATATTCATTAGTGCCTTCACACAGCTTTTGAAACCCGTTTCTATGATGCCTGCAATTCTTCCCCTCTCCTTTACACTCTAAATGTCAATTGGTTTAAGAGTATTACTCACATTTGCATAACAGATTGAAGCTATAAACTTATGATTTGAAAGGTAACAGACTTACAGTCAGTCTTGATTTGTCAGGTTTGCAGATTTACACTAAATTGAACTTACCTTAAATGCCATCTGAATAGTCTCCTCTGTGTTGGCTGGGTTACAAAGAATAGACAAACCAATTACATATTCTCTGAAGTCAATGGTGCCATCTCCATTCTGTAACCAAAACATGCATGGCAGTAGTTACAGTTAATACTGCAAATCCCTTTAAAAGCTGTTGTGTAAATCAAACACAAAACATGCACTAATACAGTTTACAACACCCACCAGAGGTATTTGTTCTTCCTGGAAAAAATACTAACAGCTCACTGAATACGCAATACTAAGGCTGGAGGGGCAATATCTGTATTTTCAGTAGCTAGAAATTGGGTATCCATTTCTATCTTATAAACAAACAAACAAAAAAAAAATGAAATCAACTCAAAAGTTTTTCTTCACCATATGACCTTCAGGAAGGCTCTAGGATGAACTGGAATACATGTGTTTAAGGTAACTGTAAGAGTGCATGCAGCACTTGCTCTTGCTGAAGTTCAGAGACCAATGCAACGTCTCAGAATAAACAGGCCAACAGAGAAGCTGTTGTTTTGAGTTCAAACCTTCAGCAATAACATATATGCCAGTGAAAGGACAAACAAATCTACTTGGTCTATCTTAAACTTTTCTTTGAAGCAAATGCACTGCCCCACAAGCTATTTTGAAGCCAATAAACTGTCCTACCTTTTAAGCCAGAAAGGCAAGGAATTCATTGGAACAGCTTCTCTGATAATTCCAGTTTTGATGTGGATGAACATTTCAATGTGATAACTACAAAGCTACATCAACAGAACATTTGAAGTTTGCTTTGATGGGATTTGTGAATAATTTTATGTAAGCTGCATTATATTTGCAAATAGGGAAAATGGCAGATGCCTGTTGAAATCTATGGATATGTCAGTAGTGTTCCTGTCACCACACTGAAAGTTTCTTGAGTGTTTTGGGAAACATCTGTCTGGGGAAAAGCCATCTCTAAGTGTTACATGGTGGGACACAGAGCAGTTAATGACAGCATAGCAGAGATGACTTGTAGCTCATCATTTGGAACCTTCACAATAAGGGCATTCATCAAAAACGTTTTAAAAACAAACTGAAGTATAAAGCAGAGTTCCCTTTGTGGATAATGTGCTGTGCACTTCAAGAGGAAAAACATTTTTTTAAAAAGTGGAGTCCCTACGTCTGAGAACAGCACAGAACTTTTTTAGCCAAGTGAGAGAGGGGTGGTCTCCTGGGTAAATCTGTAGCAAACAGCCAGATCTGGATTCTATTTCTGGCTCTCCTACCAACTTCTAATGCCCACTTGAGCATACCAACCTTAACCTTTCTGTTCTTGGTTTCCTACTGCTGGCAGTACAGTGTGCCAGGGGAGAATACTAAGGCTGCTCTGTAGAGTGCTTTGAAAATCCTGGGTGCTATGAAATAGGGACTTGAGTAATTGAATTTAGCTTTTAAGATAGTTCTTCATTAACAAAATACGTGTAATAATGTGTTCAGTACTAACTTTTCATCATCAAGCTGTACATTTAACAGGATTTAAAACTGTTAAGGTACAATTTTATTTAGCCTTCAAAACCAGTGCAAGACTCTTTTGCACAGACAACTGTTATCTTCTTTATACTGATGGTCTAACCAATCTTTGAACATCTTGTACTTTAAAAACCTCTGAATTTCAAGGAAACTTTTTAGCAAACATATGAATAAGATATGAACTTTTAGGTTACTTGCAGATGTGTCTAAGGGATATAACTTTTGACAGTTTTTAATCATTAGAAAAGGACAATGTTCTCTCATAAATGCCATTTTATTTACAAATCTGCTGTCATTGTGCTGCAGAGCTGGACTTTAAGTATTTTGGCTACATTGTAGTTCTCAGAGATAACAGATCTAACTTTAAAGTGTAACATTACAAACATAAACTTTTAAAACAACTGAAGAAAGAGTGTAAATAATAATTGTTCAAAGTTCCATAGAATATTATTTTTGGACAGTTTTGTAGAATGTATTCTTAGCAAAGGATTGTTTAATGTGACTAGAATATTTTTTTAAAATTTATTTTTAAAGTTAAAAATATGTATCACAGGAAAAGAACGGGGAAGTAAACTTTAACTAAAATAATCTAATTAAAAACAACTGAAAGAAATTAGCACAGCTGTGGCTGTACATGGAAAAATGACATGAAAAATGACAAAATAAGGGTTATATTACTTTCATTAAAGTGCTAAAACCCAATAATCAAAACTGAGTGCAGTTTGACGCATAGAACTCAGCCATTTTAGTAGGAAATAAAGTTACTACGCTTGCAAGATCATGTTGTGACTAGCTTTACTAAGCCCTAGGATGCTGGCTAACTCCCAAATGCTCTGGCATTTTGGTTAAGGAGAAATGATGGGGTTGTCGCTCGTAAAAAGGGATGGGAGTAGAACTGAAAATGCAGGAAAACCTTCAGTGCTTGTGGAACACCACAGCGAAAAAGCACTTGCAACTGTCTTTCTACACACATCAAGTAGCTGTGTTTGCAGCCTATGTACCCAAGAATATGTTAAGGAAGCAACACGTGAGCTGAGCTCAAATTCTCTAAATGGCAAAGTGGAACATCAGAATTTAGGTATTTGTATTTATGTTACGTAAAACAATCAAAACATAGAGTAATCTTAACAACTCTTGTTTCTTTTAAGCAAACTAGTTTCCTGCTACTCTTTTCACTATAGCATGCTATGGTAACTAGGATTTTGTTGTTGTGTTTTTATTTTGTTGTTGTGTTTTTCACAGTAAATCTAAGAAAAACAAGAAAGTTGCATTGTCATAAGCATACTCCACTTAGTTCTGCAACAAGGACTGCAAGACAGATACAGTACAAAGTACTACTGCATCAATACTTTTTTCTCTACTATGTAAGGCAACAGGAAAAATCAAGTATGTATTGTGTGTGTGCCTGCCATTCATGGCAGGTAAATAAATTATTAGGTAAATAAACCCTCAGTCACTTACAGGGTTACCACAGAGAAGCTAAAACTAACTGGACCATTTGGGGAGGAATTGCAGATGCACCTCTTGTGTTCATATCCAGGCTCATCATGTAAGAGGCTATTGCTGTAACTCTCAAATTCCCATCACCTGTTGCTACTTGCAAGTTCTAACTAGTCAGAAAGGGAAATTCTGAAACCAACCTGGTAGGATGGTGCTCACCTGGAGGTATCACACTTCACCTCGTGCTCACTTTTCTATTACTCAGAGCCCAAATGGCACTATGTGTTTTTCCACTGGATAACTGGGAGTGGGGTGAATGCCACTAGGAAGGAACTGACCTCTTTCATAACAGCTTGGGCCAATATCAATCTTTTTCTTTTACCCGGCTTGCTATTAAACAAAGTGCAGGAGGAAAAGAAGTCTTGGCAAAAATTGTAAGTTATTTTCTCTTAAGTTTCAAGAAAAAGGCTTCTCTAAGTAGACCAGGGAAGACATCATCAATCTGGAAAATACTATTTGCTAAGTGTAACTGCAAGATTTAGAAATCAAAGCTAAGGAAGTTTCCAAACAAAACCAAACCACATACTCCATTAACATGCAGATGCCCTGCAGGTATTGTGTGGTGTTTCTCCCTGAGTCACCCCAGACAATTTTCATTTAAAGCAGCAGTGCCTGCTGAGAAATTTTCCTTGTGCAAGAGCTGTTTTGATCAACTGTGTAATCCTTAATTCAAAGAAATGTATCTTTGAGAGTTCATGTTATTCCATTTTTTTTTTCTCAAAAGTTGACATCTTAGCCAGAACTACATAACAAGCCAGAGTGGGATGCTGTACCCTGATGAAATTTAACTTGGATAGCCAGAGGTTGATTTGGGCTAGCTGTCTGCTATGTCACTGCATCATTACAGCAAATTTCTCTAAATATAAATGTAGTACTTTAAGTTGTTTGCATTATAACTGTACTAAAGCTTGAAGGAAAGAGAGAAAAGATTAGTTCCTAGAATTGTAGGAAGAAGAAAACTGGTGTAAAAGTAGCCTCAGACAAGATTTCAATTTTGCCCTGGCCAGCAGGTAGAACTGACAATACAACTCAGGTTTTGCTTCAGCAGCCAAGCATGAAAAGCAAATGATTTAAAGGAAATTAAATGATTATGTAAATTCCCTGGTCATTACAGTTATTGCAGCTCTAATGTTTTTCCCCTGTTAGAAATAACTACATGACTCTACCACTGATTGCCTTCAGGCAAACAGACTTTTATTCAAGCTTAGTGACTGCTGACAAATCAGAACAGCAACATCAACACCAAATTTAGGAGCTTTTTATGTAATAGTTATACTCATATACAAGCTACTTTATGTAAAGAAATAGCGAAGCTTTGATCCTTTCAATATATTCCCTCACTTTAAAAGTCCAGAGTTAGTTTTCTGAGACAGGCTTGTGTCCAGACGACAACTTACACAAACCCTTCAGAAAAGCAGACTAATGCATGCACAAGAGGAATCACAACACTTGAAGCTGAGCCATCTACCACTAGCTCCATCTGCCTTAGAACAAGGAAAAGACTACAGTTCTACAGCACAGGATTGTAGCCTTCCCTGTGTATCTTCCAGACGGAGCTTGTTCTTCTCTGCTATGCCTTCAGGAATACATGGTCAGCTGCAGCCAGTCCTCAATGGTCACCTGGATCTGTCCACTTCCATCTCGGTCCAGGGACTTGAAGGTGCGGAACATCCCGTCCAGCCGCACCAGGCAGCTGATGAAGTTGTTGAAGTCCATGCTGCCGTCCTCGTCGGCGTATCTGCGCACGATCACCTGGCGGAGTTCTTCTTTCAGGTGGAACCCTGCAGCCTTCAAGGCGTTTGGCAGCTGAGCTCTCCCAAGAGTGCCTGACTGATCAGTGACATACTGCTTGTACACACACTGCCATTTCTTGATGTTGTTCCACAGGTACTTAAACTCTTCAAAGCCCAGTTTGCCGTTTGTGTCACAGTCCATGACGGCTACCATGCTACGGCACGTGTCTAAGCTGAAGCCATCTGTCTTCAAGTCTTGATGTCTGGAAAGAACTTTGTTCAGGATGTTCCTCAGCTCTGTGGCACACACTTCCATATCATCTCCAGCCAGCTGGGCAAAAAGGCGACGAAACTGCCTGATCTCCTCGCTCTCATAAGCTTCCACATTTGTAAAGTGATTGCGAGGAGGTGGAGGTGGCTCTGGATTATACTGAGCTGCTGCTTCACTTATAAGATTGACAATACCTCCAACAAGTCCTCCAATATTCCCTCCATGTCCACCACCTCCTGTTAGGAGACCTCCAAGGCCACGTGCAAGGCTCCCTCCACGACCACTGCCACTTCCTCCGCTCAGCAAAGCTTTAGCAAGGAACATCGTCAAGATTTACTGAAGGGAGTCAGAGATCCAGGGCTTCTGTAACTCTCCAAAGCTGTATCGTGTCTGACTTGGGCGTGGGCAAAACACAGCTTATCTGCATGCTTAGACTGCACCAGGTCTGTGCATGTCTCTGGCTGCCAGTTAGGTTTCGTTGGTTTCTGTCAGGTGATACACCTGTTTTTCTTCTTTTCTTCTTTGCATGGTTAGCTTTATATGATTTAAGGAATCATTTTAGAGAAAAAAATGATGAGGCTGAAAGCCACGGAGCAGAAGTCTCAAAATGCCTGTGCTCATACCTGAAGCAATTTGAAAAGAGCCCTGCAACATGACCGTGACTGATCCTCAGGTACACTGATCTCCTTAAAGATTAATGCAGCCTTGCACCTGTCCTTGCAATCTTTCATCCCTTCAATTTTTTAGTGAATTGAGCCTTACTTTGCTAGTTCTAGTCACTGGTGCTGTTGTGCCACATAAAGAAAATCAAGGGAGTTTCCTTTGCTCTTATTCTGGTTGCCACACCACATTTCTGGGTGCCTAGAAGATGAATTCTGTGCCTGCTCTAGTCATTGATGCTTCTGGTATAGTCAGAAGGGCATCCACAGAGCAATTTTTGTCATCCTCAGAGAGAAGCAGAAAATGGGAGAGATTGGCACTGACCATAGGAGAAAGCCTAAAGGATCACATTAATGCACGGCCCCCTTTATGGCTGCAGGAGGCCACAGGAGTTAGACTCTTTAGGCAAGAGGAGTCCCTCTGAACTCTAACAGCACCCTTCACAAACACAGCAGGAACACTAGTGTTCTAGTTAACACTGTAGTTAGATTCACTCTGCCTTAAATTATCTACTCACAACTATATCAGTTAATTAAGCTGTCGTATGTACATAACTACACACATGAATACGTAAGCTCAAAATCTGGGCTAGGCAAAAAGAAATATTCAGCCATTACCAGCATGGAGATTATTGTCTGATACTGGTGCAGCAACTTGGTCCAAGAGATGGCTGCCATGTCCCAAGACACAAACTGACCACTGTTTTTACATCAAAACTTACGAAGGAAACTCTAAGAGTCACCTATCTTGCCTACAGGAACTGTTAACCAAGTAGCATTTACTGGACATAATGAATTAAATATCCTTTTGGGATGTGATTTCTAACAAAATATTGCCAATAAGTCAGTTAACCAGCTACTCACCCTGTCAAAGAGTAGAAACAGCTCTTTGAGGACATCTGTAACAGGCAGCTTCAAGTAGTCCGCGAACTCTTCAATTCCAATTCTTCCCCCTTTGGAAGCACTTGCAATAGCAGCAAAAGTATCCAACTGCTCTCTGACATGTTTCCATTTTAGGCTATGCAAACATGAGGGAGAGAAGATATTTCTATACAGCAGTTCTTGGACAGATGGAATTTCAGTAGGAGTGATCACAGTGTTCAAAGACAAAAGACTGCCAAACAGAGCATGCGTGCACTGCATCTCTAATGCTGTACTTCAGACTGGATATTTTATATTAAATCAGCAATTAAGGACTGATCCCCCTGGTTATTAATATTAAAAGCAGGCATTTCTATGCTTGGGTATGTCAGACTTTCATAGAGTAACTTCCCAAACCTAGAATCATCTGTTCAATTACTGGGCTACTCTAGCAGAGAGCTTCTCATTACCATAAATTCAGGTGTAGCATCACTTTGCTGCATCATGCTCTAGGGTGAGTATTTCCTTGAGAGGAAGCAGATCTCAGCTCTATTAGCAGACTCTCTACCCTAACACCAGCATCACTACAGCCTCAGAAGTATCTGATCTCAGCAGAAATACACCACTGCACCTCAGTAAGAATGATTAGTATTGCCAAGTAACTCTCCCAAACAGTTTGACATTATTTATGATTTAGCACATAAATAGTAAGTCAAGATTCACTGCACACATAATTCAGATTTACCCACAACCATGCCAGGTTATTTGATGGAGTTACTGTATGGTTACGCGGTTCAGCCTTCAAATTCCACTGTATCCAGTCAGAAAAAGTTGACATCACTAGTGACACATGGCTGCACAATACAACTACGAGCAGTAAACCACTGGTTGAAACCTCAGGCTGGAGAGGTTTTTTACTTCCTGCCACACGCTGCCAGTGCCTCTCCACTAAAGCAATTTAAATTTGCATCAAGTGCTTAAAATAGGTACTGCTCTACCTTCCTCACCCTCTGGTGAGATAATTCCATAAAAGATTAGAAAAATGTATTTTTCCTCTTGCAACATTGCCCACAAAAATTACTTGGGATTAATTCTTACTGGGATTTTTCTCATCTCTGATTTCCACGTAATTTATGTATGTAAATGTTTATATGTATGCATAAATACACAATATTAAACAAGGCCAAGTCAGTTGTCAGGTAATTTATCCTTTTGTAGATGGCTGTTGACACCTGCAGCACTGTAGTAATTATCTGCAGTAATTAGCTGCTACCAACAGCTAAACTTCCCTTACTTGAGTTTCTTGCTAATTTTGGTGAACTCCACCAGCCCAGCTTCCATGGGTAAAGTCAGCTGTCCTGCTGAAATCATCAGTCTGCAATCTTCAAAGGTGTGATCAGTGACTGGCACATTCAAAGCACTGAAACAAAATTAAGGAAAAAGAGAAATCAATTTCTTACACAAAGATAACTTTTTGTCGACTGTTTCCCTTCTCTAACATGCAAAACAAATGATAATTCATTCTTGCACTGCTTCAAGTAGGACAAAGCAATACATCCTATTTTGTGTAACTGTGAAACCAAGTTATGGCAGTGTCATGATGTTTTACGATTTACAGCCTTGTAAATGCAGCCCTGTAACCTTGAAGAACGAACCACCTACTTAGTCTTACCAAGCAAAAAGAGAGAAATTTATTCCAGTTTTCTATGAATTGAACATACTCTGTTTCAGTGTAAGACGGCCTCCCTTATGCTCCATGTAAAAAAGATCAGGTTGTTCTAGTATAGAAATTTGACACCTTTTAGTGAAAATCTAGAGCAATTTCTACATATAGTACCTGGGCCTTGAATAAATTTAACTTTATGGCTAGGATATATATGGAATTTCTGGATATAAAGGAACAATTCTCAAAGATTTAACCGATGACTGCTTACGTTGCCATGGTTTGTCGGACTCTGTAGGCAAAAAGAATGGGATCGTTCTTTTCTTCCTCAGTAGGAACGTGAACAGGCAGAAACTGAAAGGGATGAGTTATCCAATCAATTCAATAGTCCCCACTTTATTAGCAACATGAACAATTTCTTATTATTGTTTGATGGGGGAAAAACAGGAGAAAAAAAATTAGCCATGCAATGAAGGAACTGGGCGCTAGAGGTCTCAGCTGCCTTAGGAACAGCTCTGGCTCTTCCACCCTCACCACACAAATGAGATTTAGTCCAAAACTACCTCTTAAGGATTGGTAGGAGTTTCTTAAATACGAAAAATCAACCCCCCAGGGAAGTAAAGTATAATAAATGCATACTTTGTTAGAAGACTAAATGATGCACTGGTAAGAATGTGAGTTTGAAATACTACCACTCCTTTTCAAAGATCCTTTGTAAGTGATATTATATTGCAGAGTTACATACAGTGCAATAGTGTATGTAAGAGTTTTAATGTTTTTAAATACACACTGCAGTCTCACCTCCTACCTGTTAAGTGTATCTGTCAGCATGTGACTGATAAGTTTCCTGTACATTTTTCCTCCATGACAAAAACGTTAAGGAATCATAGTTCTGAGTTGTAAGGAGCACATTAAATGGATATAATGCTGTAAAATTTCGGAACTCCAAGCAGAGAGTAAAAAATCCCAACCACCTTCTCTCCTCCTACATCTAGAAAACACCCCAGATATCTAAGTGGCAACATGTTTACTGTTCAGGATTTATTCAATATTAATATGTAAGAAGTTCAAGTACCTTTTCACTAAATTATCCTATAGAGGAACTACTCTCTATTGCAGTGTGAACCAGCATCTGTTTGCTAAGCAGTGTGTGTGGAGGAGTATTTTGCTCTTTCTACTTCAGTCTGAAGTGTTTGCTCACAGCTCTGTTTACTGTGCCTCTTCTCAGCTATGGTTATCATTTATCTGAGTTCTGCTGCTCCCCACCCTGCAGTCTTACCCTGAATTCCTAGAATACAGCAATTCCAAAATTAGATGTTGCTCATGATTCACTGGAAGACACAACTGCCAATTATGTGTCAATATGTTTCTTCAGTGATATTGCAGCTGCTTGTGATGCACTAATATAGTGGTAACTGTCCCATATAAATGCAGGCCATCCTGAACAGCCTTTTAATGTTTGTTTTTAAGGAATGCTTCCTCTTCCTGATTAAAACCAGTAAGTTTATGGAATTGGTTATCTGTCAAATAGCCATAACAATTTTCTGTTTATACTTAAAAGTTGTCTCCCCTGTAAGGAAAGCAGGGCTCCTGCTGTTCACATGAATGCTTGAGATTTTATTCCTTCTGCAAGCAGTTGCCAGCTCTGCTCAAGCTCTGACACAGGTCCCTGCTTATCACAATTCCCCTTCAGAAGTCACAAAACTCTTAAATTGAGAAGGCACAGGCACAATGTACAGACACAAAAAACTCTGTTGTCACTGGGTGAGATGAAGTCATAACTCTAAGAAGTTTATGCAACTGTGGCTCATGGTCTTGAAAGTGGTCATTACATCACTTGAGGCTGAGGTCTTGCTCAGAGAGCAATGTAACTTTCTGGCAGGTTAAACATCACTTCCATCCCCTTCAGAAAACCCACCTACAATTATTCACAAAACCTGTTTGCCAGAAACCACAGCTGGGGAGGAAGAATTCTGTTTCTTGACGTCCTGTGGTGGCATGATCTCACACACACACCCAGCTGCTTATCTGCTGAGGAGTAGTAAGTAAACCTCCCCTGTCAAATCGCAGTCCTGTAAGAAAAATTCTTCACAGCTCTTTCAGGAGCACAAATACTTCTCTGATCTGCTTTTGAACTAGTCTCTCTTGCTATAGAATTTGCTAAATGCTGTACCTTCTGCAGACCTAAAACTCGCTGCCAGGTTCACTACAGTTTGTTAGTTTGACTAAACATGCAAACACACACCCCCCTGGACTGCAGGAGTCCATCACTGCTTATGCAGAGCAGGTAGAAGCAGTGCAAGACTGCTGGGAGTGGAGAAGCTACTTCCTCACAGCATGAGACAGCAACAGAAATGTCCACTCCTAAAAGGAGTAGTTGGATTCCCTCCTTCCCCAGGAAAATCTGCCCCTTCTCCTTTTAGAAACTGAAAGACTTTTGCACTGATGTCAAGAAATCAGTTCCACTTTGGGAACACATGTTCTGTGAAAGCTGCAATTCTTTAAATGTTTCATTTTTTGGAACACGAAATTTATTTTCTAACAGACAAGTCTGAGTTCTGAAGTAGGGGAAAATGTAGCCCTTCCTTCTACTGGAAGGGCTACATTAACTGTTTCTTGCTCCCATGTATATTAATTATGTTCTTCTGTACAAAATTATCAGGAGAATGATCTCCTTACTACAACTTCTAAAAATATGTGTCTATTGCACATATTATACAGTAACAAGATGCTCCCTTACAATGAATTTCATTTTTTTCACAACACAGACTATATGGCTAATTGGTACTAGTAACAACACTGCTGGTATTCACAAGGCTTTGGACAACTTTGCTAAATTCTGTGCTTTGCAAATAAACAGCAAAACCCATCAATTTCTCCCCTTCCTCAGGTCCCTAAACCAACTCAGTCCACAGTGACAATCCTTTTGGTCTGGTAAGGAATGTGAAATACAACACTTAACTGAGGTTTGAACAATTTACCTGGCTCCTCACTACTGTGTTTTGAATGTTGTCTCTCTGACAGGGAGCAGATTGAGTGTGTGTGCTCATGTTATGAAGTGTGTGTGTTGTTTCAGTGGTCATTCATCTGCCATCCTGTGCTGTGCAGCAGATTTTAATGATCCAGGGAACTGGATCATACAAGTACTTGAGTCCTTAAGTAAGCTCTTAGTTGTAGAAAACTGTAAGAGTTCAGTCTGGGAAGATGGTGAGGAAGATGAGGATACTTTGAAGGGATCAGAGAAATAAGAAGGTGGGAAAAAGAAGCTGTTACCTTTAACAGAATGTGTTCTAATTCTTAGTTTTAACATCTGTAAAATGCATGT